GTACACGTATTAAATATTATGAAAAATAATAAATATTTTGAACACTTTCAAAATATATTTTGTGTAAAAATCATTTGGAGTTGCGTTGGCATTTTACACCACTCAATGCTTACATTCATGAAAGGTATCAATTAATGTAGAAAACAGTATCACATGAAGCACACTCCACTGGTATCAGCATCACTTTTAGAGTACTGGTATTGATGCTAGTGTCATTTTTATAGATGATAACCAGCTCTTATCTCGAGAAAGCCTCTTGAATCTAAATTCAGTCAGTCATGCTTTATGTAATTATCACTCTTTTGCTATTATAAAAGCACCCTGTGGAGTTCCCCTCCCCCTCTTTTTTTATTAGCAGGCCCCCAATGTGAACAGGCACGTGGGTGGTGTGATAAACATTCATCACACACAGATTTCATACTATTCCACTGGTCAACAAGTGGCAGTAATGCACCAAGAAATGCAAAAATGCGCCAGCAAAGACAGTGAAGAAAAAACTCTAAGCTAGCGGATGTAAACAATGCCAGATTGAAACACTGAAAAATCAGCTTTGCAAATGTTTTGTGAGGACAGAAATGAATTGAATTAATTTGACAGAGCTTAAGGAAAAGCAGAAATAATTTAATAAAAGAAAAAGTAATATAAAATAAAAATAATTAAAATCTAACTAGAGTTTAAAATAGGTTAATTCTGAAAGGAAATAGCTGTTTATGTCCATGTCACAGTGACCGTGCAACTCCACCAAGTTACTCACAGGCGAGAAATGCATCTGTGTGAGTGTGCAGTAAAATCATAACAGTGAATTTGGCCAGTGTGGTGTTTTGTTGTTGTGTTCACTTCTTTGTTGGCTCACTGCATCTACTGTAATTATTGCCTCTCTCAGAAGCCTTCTGCAATTCTTTGAAAAAACATAGTTTCGTGTAGTGGGATGAGTGTGTGTATGTGTGTGTGTGTGTGTGGCTGCCACCCAAGGTTGTTCCTACAACATGTTGTCTTTTGAGATTCATTGCCTTAAGCAGCGATGATGCGCTCTCAGCAAGACATGCCAAGAGTGCTGGCTGTAGCCCAATATGAGGGGCAAAAAGGAAAGAAAGGGAAGGAAAGAGACAGATACTTGAGCCAGATCCCATGATTTTGTTTAGTCTGAGGAAAAGATTCATTTGGATTGAGAGAGCTAAGTAATTACTGAGTGTCTTGATTCTGTTTAGGAATATCAGAAGAAAACCCTGAATGTTTACTGCTCCCTGTTGCCCAGATTGAAGTGTGCAAATGTTACTGCTACCGTACGTTAGTCACAAAGCAATCTGTATTAAAAGTTTGTTCTTCTAAAACTTTGGTCCCAAGTAATCAGGATTATGATTCAGTTGATCAAAATAGTTAAAATACTGTAATTGTGTCTGGCTAGTACGACAAGTATGATTAACAAATTCACCTGTCAGTTTTTTTTTGATGATGCCTGCTGACATCAACATCTAAGTCTCCCAGTTACGTAAGATTGCAGAGTTTGCTGTACTTGTTTGACCATACCATCACAATTTTTTTAAAGAATTGGTGCACTAATGCAATGGAAATTATATGGAAAAGTTTAAACGTGTTTCAAACTGTGATGTGGGTTTAATTAGCATTGCTTATGGGTGAATACTTGATTCTGACTGGTTCTGGGGTGTCAGTTAATTCCTGAAATAGTTGTAGGAGACCTCCGAAATAGTTCCAGTAAAACTGTCTGTTCATCGTTCTCATAGTGACTACATAGAATCAGCGTGTATCTAAAAAGGAGTAACCATAGTGACAGAGATGTAGTCAAAGCCTCTGCTCACAATTTATGTCCAACACTGAGTGCAGTCCTTCAGTGCCTTATTGTCTGAACACCACCGGATGGAGGCTGTAACACAAGCTGCAAGTACACTGCCCCTCTGAACTTACTGATATTAAGTGATCATCTCACATCCCGCCCTCTATTCAACTGACAGTAAGGTTACATATGACATATTGTTGGTGCATGCAAATCTCAGTATTGATTTGGGGATGACATGGCCAAATGGCAAGCTAGTCCCACTGTTAAACATTAAGTCAAAATACATTAACTGTGTGTCAACCATACGCAATGTTATTGGATGGGTCCAACAAACCCCGACCTTCATCCGGAAGAGCAGTGTTCGCAGCCTGTAAGATTATAAAGCCAAACTCTGTTCTTTTATCCTAAACTTAACCACTTGTTTTTGTTGCCTAAACCCAACCACGTGTGTTTGCTGTTGAAGGGAAAAAAAAGTCAATTTGCAGTGTTGTACCAACATAGTGCATTCATTTTTGAAAGAGACTGTATGTAAACTTTAAATGTCCTGGGAAAATGGAAGTGTATTTTGAAAGAAGACAATGCATGTAACAGGCAGAACTTGACATGGTGTCCCAGAAAGTCCACAAGCAATGCACCCAGGGTACCTTGCACGTTGTATCCGGATGTAGAAAGTCCATGACCAAATGTCAATATGTGACGAAGTCTGAGTGAGAAAGTGTTGTTCTGGCTAACACCTGTGTCAAAGGGTTCTATGAGCTCAGTGGACTAGAAATATCCCCTGCTGGTAAGTCATATCTAAGATTTGCTCTGTCTAACTTTTTCCATTGCAAAAGACCCTTATGTGGTAATGACTGTTTCAGGTGTTAGTCGGACCCGCAGGTGTTACCAGGGAGAATCAGTTACGGCTTGTAAAAAACTTTAGATTTTGATTGCACAATGCCTGAAAATATAAATGAGTGGTCCTGTTTTCTTTTCTTTGGCAAGTGACCATTGTATAAGCTTGGTAATGCCTTTGAGGTATCCATAACCAAGAATTAATGGACAACGGGGAGGCCAGAACTGTATGACGCACAGTGGCGCCCCTGCATAGCCCATTAATTCCTGACAATGGACACCTCATCGGGCATTACTCTTTAGCTGTGTCAGCAGAAAGAAGGCATTCAGAGTGCAGTAACAGAGACCACTTTGAAGTTTCACATCAGAGGCTTCAACTGCTTCCGCAAACATTTCACTGGGAGGGTGGCTAGTTCCAATCCCAGACAGTTCGGGGAAATGTTGGCATCTGAACACAAAGAGACAAAGAGAAATGCTCTTCACTGCTTCTAGTGCTGAGGTGCCCTTGAGCAAAGCACACAGCCTGCAGATGCACCTGTGGAGCTGGTCAACAGTGGGGACACAAATTACACAGTCACATTGTGGGGACCCACTTTCTTTTTGGGGACAAAATGCAAGTCCCTGTTATGTAAGTCAATAAATTTTAGGGGGAAGGCTTGGGTTAAATTTAGGGTAAGGTTAGGGTTAGGGCTAAGCAAATAGTGGTTATGGTATATGTCTCCAGAAAATTAATGTAAGTCAATGTAATGTCGTTTGAAGTAATGGAAACCCTACTGTGTGCTGTGTGTGTGTGTGTGTGTTTGTGTGCTGCTAATTAAGTTCCAGCTTTGTGATTTGTGCAGAACTTTAGGAAACGTTAGCTGTCAAATTAGGAACAACACAGCACAAATCGCAGGTCACACAATTCTCCTAACTGATGTCAGAAAAATAACAACTGGCAGGAGTAAATGCTCTTTCGGATATTAATGTTGTATTATGTTCTGCGATTATGCTGTAATTTGGTAATATGCAACACGAACTTTCCAACACGCCCATTATCCTGAAACTGCAGAATCCACCCCCTCAGTACTTCAAGCACCTGAAGCAAATATTTACTAAACAGATCTGCAGTAGATCCTCTAAAATATGGATTTATGTCTTTGTCATGCAGAATTATTTGAATAGGGAGAACTAGTTATATATGAGTTGGGAAGGAAATGTCTCTCTATCTTCAAGGTATCATAATACATTTACTGGCTTCCATGCAACTAACCATTTTCTTTAACTTCTTCCTATCATCCACTCTTCCTACCAAGAGATAAAGAGGCATTTCTTTCTTAAACTTACTGAGACATAAACAAACAAATAAATTAATATATATAGTCATTGTCATCATGATATAATAACCATGTCTTCTTGGTTAAAACTGCAGTCTTTATGAAACATATTACCAAACTGCCGCATTGTAAAAATGAAGGCACTGAAATTGATTATTCCTTTTCTTCAGTGACAGATTGCTCGCTCCGCTCTGATAAGCAGCCTGCTTGATATTTAAAGTGTCTATTTCATTCAGTCCAGCTGCACACAGAGTCACTGCTTTGTGATAAACCAACAGCTCTCGTGGAGAGGCCAGAAATACAAGGGCCCTTTACACAGGACGCTTTCAGACCCAATCGTCACACACACACGCAGACAGACCACACACTCACACACACGCACGCACGTGCATCTCAATGGTGGCAATGAGCTGAAACACGCCCCCCTGTGGTCACTTTGGGAAGTTAAAACCTGCCGGCACAATAAGTGGAGAAACAGAGAACAAGGGGGGGGGGCAGGTCATGTAAGTGTGTGTGTGTGCTCCTACTCCCTCCCTCTCTATTTCTCTGTGAGTGTGTGTGTGTGTGTGTGTGTGTGTGTATGGGGGGGGGTTTCTATTTTTGCTGTCATAAATAATTGGTCCACGGGGAGGGGTGGTGGTGTTAAGGGCTCCTCCATTAGGCAGAAAAACTTTCGGAGCGCCTTTCAGTTCTAATTGGCACCAACGATTGGTGGCACCGCAGCTGGCGAACTCCACCAAAGAGTCGACAACAGAGAAAAACACAAAAACCACCGCTGCCCCCTCGGCTCTTAAAGACATCCTGTAGCACCCAAAAGGGCTGGAACCTATTTTAGAGTGAATGGAAGGGAGGAAAGGAGAGGGAGAGAGACGGGGGGGAGGGGGGGGGGGGGGGGGCAATGTTGTTCTTTTGACAACCTGTTCAGTGTGGAGCTGTGAGGCTTGAGCGCATCTATGTGGGAGCCTCTGTCCTCCCTCCCCTCCCCTCTCTCCATCCCTCTCTCTCCCTTCATAGACAGGGGCGGTCGTTCTCAGTCTGCGCACATATTCCACTTGGCCAGCATCACTTGGAGTCCACAGACACAGCGCTGATTGAACGAGTGGAGGGGAGCTCATTTTCAGAGCGCATGATTGTGTTAGAAGGGCTTCACTAGACTGTCACCGGTCAGACGCAGAGACAGACAGACAGACAGTAAAGCCATCTCAACCACGCCTTTAAAAGTAAAGAATCCACAAAAGAGGAGACGGAGTGTGTAGGATTTTTTTTTATTTCTCTGCCAAACTAGCCTTGCTTGAGTTTTTTAAAGGGAAAGTGCTTTTTATCTTTGGGAAGAGGGACTCTCTGGTGGAGCCGAACAGCGGTAAGATTCCGCTGCCCGCTTCTCTCCGTGCGTAAAATAAAAGTTTAACACACCAAGGAAATCATTTGAGAGGTGTGGGAGCTCAGCAAACTCTCCGCTATACTCCCCGGGAATTGTAAAGCTCACACCGGACACCCACTGGAGGAGGATTTATAACTTTTTAACACATTTTGTGGAGAGACACGGAGGCGGGTTGGTCTAACGGGGGAGCGGAGGAATCCTCGTCGTTGAGCCGGGAGGAGTGCGCGCAGCGCTGGGTAGCAGACTGACCCAAAGGACGGTACCTCGGAGACAAGGTAGAGACGCGGCAGGGATTACACGCCTGCACGGAGACTTTTTATTTTTGTCAGGATCATGTGTTTTTTTCCATTGAGTTTACATCCTGTCTGCATTTTTTAAAGCATGAAATGTGCACATATTTGCGAGCACCTTAAAGCCGGCTGTGGTTAATTTTACTCTGCTCTACATCACCATCAAACCTGACCTTTGCTCTGATTACACTTAACATGCCTCGCCGGTGACATTCAAATTTTGGGTTTTCCCACCCGCCCTGCTTTAATTTGCATCATCTCTTTTTACGCAGACTGTATAACGATCCATGTCAGTATGAGCAAGTCTCTCTCAGCGCACCCTGACATTAATGCAGGGTATTAACTCACATGCATCGTGTGAAACTTTGATCACGGCGCGCTGTCTAATGCAGTCTGTCAATGCAGCCGCCTCAGAGCCGTTATACAAATGTGTGAGGGTCAGGCGTCGGAGGAGATCCTCATGTTCGGTCAGAGGAGTCACAGAAGAGGGTCCATTAGCCCCTGACTCCACCTGCTCCTCATCCTTTTTCTCCTACAGCTTTTCCACAGGTTCCAAATTGTGCACAGAAATAACACAACATGTGATACATTTACAGAAGTGTTTTGTTTTTTTTTAACAGACCTATCACCCTCTCCTCGCTGCTGCAGAAACATTGCAGGAATGATGATATTGATCTGAAACATGTGTGCATGTGTGGGTGTGTGGGGTCCAACGTGCATGACCCCACTTGTTGTAGCTAATCCTCCATGAATACCGCAGTTGTCTGATCCTTAGTTTTCTCCTGTCCTGACTACACCTGCCCCCTCCCTCCCCCCTGGGCTCCAGCGAGGAGGAAGTTTAGTCACGCTTAACAGCAGACAATCCTGTCAATCTCAAAACGCATGCACCAGCCCTGCTTGTAAACTTTGTATAATCCACGATTTGTGATTGAATTACGCGTCCTTTAAGTCGAATGAAACCACGCAGGCTGTGCGGCGGGGAGCTAAATTGCTCTGTGATATCATTTTCACGGCTTAAAGGGGCTGAAGGAGACGTAATTGAACATGAAAAAAACAATTGAAAGTACCTCTCTTTTCCTTTTGATAACAATCACTCAGCTGTAGTTTGTTTGTCACATCCATCGTGCAGGCTGCTCCCCTCTGTGCCTCTCATTTCACCTTTTTCTCTCGGTGTGTGTGTCTCTCTGTCTTCCTTATAGGTTATGACGGAACTGAGCTGAACATGGAGCTTTTCTGGATTTTGTTATTTTCTAGTGTTTATCCTCTTGCCTGGGGCCAAGGAGTTTACGGTAAGAGCGCGATATTTGCAAACGTATTCCTATTATCACATCAATACATACTTTATTAGTGCAGGCTGACTGAGCTCCATTGCAGCCAGCGATGATAATTTGTCCAATTATTAACCCATAATCTTAATTAAGGGCTCCTCCGCGCCACATATTGTCCGCGTTTCAATGCGACGCACTAATAGGAGGCAGTAATAATAACTGGCGTTTAAACTACTGTGAGAATAGCTTCAGGGAGATCGACAGCAAATTAACTTGAAAGGGAGATATTGCTTCTTAGAAGTCGCAGGAGGCGACTGGGAAAACATCCAGCAATGTAGTAGAGGGGGAAACCCACCTACTGTATATCCAATCTAATTCCAGTTTTACACTGATATAAATCTTTATGGCAAAATCCACTTTAGGTCCACAGATTAGTTCTTTATTACACAAAGTAGATCAAACTTTAAATTATTGGTTAAGGTTTATGGTTATTGCTGCATGGAGGTAGTTTGGCCACTATTTAACTTCCCACTATGTCTCCCAAGCACACTGCACTCACACACTGAGACACACACACACACACACACACACAGACAGACAACAGGTTTCAACAGGAGGATAAGACTGGCAGAGCTCTCTGAGACGTGGCTCGCCTTTGTCAGGTTAAACAGGACAGTCACACTGTGCTTTTGAGGGATAAAGCGGAGATTTGTTCCCTCTTAAGACTGTCTCGCAGTACTACAGAGGCTCAGTTTCTTCAGCTACAGGCCAGATATGCATCCTCCCTGTCCCTCCGGGCAAAGCAAACACACAAAATGATCTGTCAGCTTTGATACTTTGATTTTGATGTTTGAAGGCATGTGGCAGCCATTGAAAACGAGGTCTGTTTAGTCATAGTAGCATGGAGTGCTGTTGTCATAAGCAATCCCGCAGCCTGCTGTCACACTGAGAAATGCTGACAATCTGTCATTTGCTGAAGCATGTAGGCCCATGTCGAGGTCCTTGCTAGGTAATCAGGCTTAAACCGCTCTAATACTTCATACAGCAGGTGACGTGACAGTAGAGTGAATTATATCCAGCTTACATTGACATTGTTCCTTTTTTATTTTCTTTCGACCACCAGTTGAAGCATTATACTGACGCCTTAATAAACAATCCTAAGGCATTTGTTTTTTCTCCTCAGAATCTATAAAATGTTTGCGACCCACTGCTGCAGACATAACAGTGTCTTAAGATTTTTTTTCCTACTATCTGTTTATATAGGAAATGTCAAACATGGCCGTACAATGAAGAGAGTGCACCTGATGCACCTTAGTGGCACCACACTTATCTAGGATAATTTTTTACCTGCTGGTGGAGGCCTTATCCACTTTGATAAAGTCAAGGATTTACCATAAAACTGTTATGTTCCCTCCAAAAATATTTCCACCATACATATATTAGATATTTCAGTTTGAAAATATTCTGGTATCCAGAATGTACGAATGCCAGCAATCATTTTGTAGGAGCAGGAGCGTGTGTTTGTATTTTCAGTATGTTGTCTGCATGGAGTGACTTTTGTGATCTAGTTATGCCGTCCCGCAGAAGGCTCACATCTCCAGTTTGCCCTTGTGCATTCTTGTCCTCATTTTTTTTCATAATAACTGTTTGAAACAGTTTTGGGTTCTCTACAGGGTGATACACTGATTGTCATGAAGAATTTGTGCATCCGTGCCTCATGGGTTCTGTCACAAATATGCAGTGGGTCAGAGCAGGAAGGTATGCAGTCAGGGAGTGCCAGTGCTGAAGGCTGCAATGATATACATATACATGTATATATATATATATATATATATACACACAATTTTTTCCCCCCACTGTAATAGCTTATTTGTCTCACGTGCAGTAGCAGCCTTTCACTCTCTGCTGAGGGACCAAAAGTCCCAAAGCATTGTGGGAATCGCACTGGCCGGCATTCACAGGCCCCACATTCCCCGGTGGCTTGTGTGGCGGCGGTGCTCAGCTGTGTGTACCTGTGCAACAACTGCTTCATGTATAGGTAAACCATCATCATTAAAAATAGTCATTGAAAAAGAACAAATTGCTACACAATTTGCACAATTACAGCGAAGAACACGAGTGGGGAAGATCAGGAAGAGAGCCAACGAGATTGGCACTCTAGCTCGCTGTGCATGCAGATATGCATAAAATGGTTTCCCTCACTTTGGAATTGTTTAGCACTTGCTCCAGCAGACAGATGCGACTCGCTGTCCGTCGGGAGCCCAACGGTGTAAGCGTGCCTGATTGATGTCAGCGCTTTGGAAGGCTGTGAGGTTCATTTACTGTAGCCTTCTCTGGGGTGTGTTTGGATGTGTGCGTTTTTGTCAGCTCACGCCTGCGAGTCTGTGTGTGCAGGTGTTCGTTTGTGCTCGTGAGTGTGAATTGTGCCAAATGCATGGATGGATGTGAAGTGTGTGTGCCTGCGAACCTGTGGGCCCGTGTGTGTGCGCGTGCATGTGTGAGTGGGACGTGTTTGTGTCACAGACACACTTTTCTTCCCACTGCAACAGTTTGCTGGCTCAGCAGGGACTTGCGGATCAGTCACTGTTTCTCTTGCAGCAGTGTAGTATTGATTGTACTTCTGTGAATTTTGATAGGCTGTCAGAAAGCTTGTAACACCTGTCTGTCAAACAGGAATTGGACAGACAAGTGCACCAAGGAAATGCCATGCTTTACTGTATATCAAAGGAAAAAGGAAAAGCTGCCTACCATATTTTTTTACATAAAGCTTTATTATGCACATCTATTAATGTCATTTTATAGTATGTATTTTTTATTAGAGCCCTCTTCTCTGTACTACTGTGTTTTTTTTTTTTTGTGGCAGGGTGGGGGATAAGCATTTTATATGCATCCCCACAGACTGGTCACAAACATCCTTGCATACGTATACAGCGATTTTCAAGTTTCATTTAATCTGGATATACTGTAATCCCAGGCATTACAAGCCTGATGTGGCATTCATATGCGGCAACTCTCAACGTACTTAAGGATTAGGGGAGGTTCAGAAAATTTCAAGACAGTCTGGAAGGATGTGACTCCTCAGCCGAAGGACTCAACAGTTACGACATCAATACAGACAAAGTGTACCAGAAAAGTGTCTCACCACGTTTGCCGTGCTGCATCAGATCACACTCTGCGAGGCAACAGAGTTCACAGGGACACCAAATTATTGATCGCTCGACAAAGTCACACAAAACCATTAGCCGGTGCTGTAGATGGAACCCAAACTGCATTAGCGTGCAATGTGATGCTTCATTATGTGCTTGTTAACAGGAAATTTAATGAACTTAAATCAGTGATTTTGCTTAACAGTGTTAGACTTCAGCAAGGCCCTCGCAGCAGCGGGAGAGTTGAGGCCTTGCCACTGGCCATAGAACAAAGCACTACAAGAGATGCAGAAAGTGAAAAAGTTTAATATGCCTACATAGCGCACAAATTTAACATCACTTTGAAGATGTTGCCCAAGGAAGAATGAAGGGCTTGGAATACACTGCTAGTTTTTTTATTTGCTGTCTGTGTGTGCGAGTGTGTCGATGAGCACCCAACATTTGAGCATCATCTTAATGTGGAGCTTTACTCACTGCGGTACATTAGCTCGCCACGGCACATGGGTTGAAAGCCGGTGACCTAGAAAGAGATCATTCCAGGTTTAACTGGCCTGGCCACTGGCTCCCCTGTGACTTTAACTCTTCCTCTACCCACATCAGCACTTTTTGTTTGTGTCTCTTTAATGTCTCTTGCTGCTGAGTTTATTTTGGATGCTGAATATTGCCCTTTTCTAATAAGCATCCATAATTTATTGGTGGCTCTGAGGCAATGGAGGAGGGGAGGGGAGACGGTGATAGAAAGAGACTGAAGCATTAAACTAGAGATGATGATAATCTTTTACCTCCCACAATCTGACACCTACTATTCTGCTCTCGCTCTTTACCTCTTTGCTGTAGTCTGCTGCTTGCTGTACTCACAGGTGCACACATGCATGCATGAACACACACACAGGCACACACACACACACACACACACCTCTTTTTGCTGTACAGATTGCGCACTCAATGTTAGCAATTGTTGAATGACCTTTCCCTCGGTATGAGCTTTGATTAAAAGTCCTTCAAATTTAGTTAGTGGTGCTCAAACCGTTTTTCCAACTGTCCAACTCAATACCAGACAGACAGACAGACAAATAGATAGACAGATAGACAGACAGAGAGATAGAAAGAATCTCCAATACTGATGGTCATTGAGTGCGTTTACATGGACAATTTAATTCCCTTTTCATTCGGAATGAAAGTTCATTCCTATTAAAAGTGATCTTGTAAAAACCTAATTCGGAATGGAAATGGCCAATGCAATTGAAAATTCAATCCGATGTATATTCCGTTTCTAATTCCGAATGAAAGAATTTCTCGCACTTGTATACACTCATTCCTCTTTAAGTTCATTCCGGTCTTTCTGCACATGCTCGTTTCCTTGACCTTCTGGCGCGATGACATATATAGAGCACATAGCAACGGGCTGAGATAGAGCAGGCGGACTCATTGCACTCATCGGTTTCCATTCGCCACAGCACGGTCTTCTGTCTCCCTTCTTCGACCTTCTACCTCCCTTCTCCCCCACAACAGACGAAGCATTAGCAGAACAAGGTTGTTGTCGTACTGCTGCTTCAAGAATATAAGCAAAACAAGCCTGAAAAAGACACAAAGAATGGTGTCGTCAAGCATCTTGTTATCCGGAACGAGGACTACAGTGTTTTCTTCCGGTAAACGTAAACACGTAACATCCGCCCCGCCCCCTATCCAATCAGAAACCTTCCCTGCCCCAAACCTTGCGCGGACCCGAATAAAGGCGATTAAACTGATCTCCCGTGTAAACCCTCATTCAGAATTAATATTTCCCATGTAAACTACCTGGAAAGACTTTAATTCCGAATGATTTCATTCAGATTTATTTCATTCTGAATGAGAAGCCATCATGTAACCGCACCC